CACACACACACACACACACACACACACACACACACACACACACGTCTCCGGAGCGCCTCCTGGTGGCCGTGTCTGGTTACGTGCCCGGGTCAGTGACCACCTGGCAGCTGTCACTCACCTCTTTATTTTCAAATGATACGAAGTTCACTATAATTTCATTAAAGGTGGGGGAGGGGGGAAATGAACTGATACCAAGGGCTCAAATAGAAAGACGTTTTGAGAACGATGATGTCAACAAATGTACAAGTGTGCTTGACACGATGGATGGATGGATGGATGGATGGGTTGTGGTAAGAGCTGTACGAGCCCCCAATAAAATGATTTAAAAATTTTTTTCATGAAAGGCAGGAATATAAAGATCGGCTCAATTTTACTTTTCATTTCCCAAGTAGTTACTACTTATTTCCCTACTATCTTCTCCTCTGCTCAGGCCCTGCGTCTGGGAGAGAAAGGGGCGGGACACCTGGACTTTAGGATTTCCGAGGGCTTAAACTTAAAGCCTCTTCAACATTCAGGATCTACGGGTATTTGCCCCCACATTGCTCAGTTTAAAGAACGTGTCTGCCTGAGGGCTTCAAGAAGTTCATGGGAAAAGTCCTTTACTGCTTTTCCCCATGGATTTTCTGAGGACCCTCCCCCTAGCGCTGTGGGGTGGGCATGGACATACAGCAGCAGCAGGGGGAGGGTCAGACGGATGGCGAATGTGAATCTCTTTGGGGGCGGGGTCTGAAAGAGCAGCTTGCACAGTGTCTCCATGAGCAGCCGTTGCTCTGATAACTGAGAAAGGACTTGCTCTGATAAATGCTATTTTTTTCTTTCCAAGTCAAGAAGACGGGCTCACTTCATAGCATATATAAGCTCTCTCGCGCTCTTTCTCCCCCCACCACACACACACACACACACACACACACACACACACACACACACACACACACGCACAGAGCACCTCTGCCTCGCAGATTGCCTGCCCTTCACCTGAAAGTGGAAGATGCCGGCGTAGTTCTTCTTGAAGCTCTGCCCCTTGGGCACGACGCGGTTCAGCAGCCTGGGGTTGATGGTGAGGGAGCCGATGGCAGCCAGCAACCAGCAGTCCCCTGGAAAGACCACCAGTGTGTGTGTGTGTGTGTGTGTGTGTGTGTGTGTGTGTGTCCTAGAATCCAGGTCCCAGGGGAGCAGGAGCCTGGCTTTGAGGGGGGTGGGCATGAGCAGATAGGAAAGCCCCTTCCCCTCAGGTGTGTCCGGGGAAGAGGTCAGTAGGGAAAAACTGAGGGTGGGAGGACAGGCTTTGGGAAAAGGAGCTCCTGAACCTTCCCCACAGGTAAGGGGACCCACAAGTTCAAGCTCGATGTTGGTTCTTTGGGCCTTTAGGGAGGAGGGCCCTCTGGCCGCCAGATCTTCCGGACATGTCCTCTCAGACTCCACCCTCACCTCAGGAGTGCCCAAGACCGCCCTCCCTGAGGGTGTCCACACAGTCAATCGCCACATGGCGTGGGCACTCCAGAGGCCCTGTGAAGAGGCCTCTTGAGGAGAGTGGTTTGAGGACGCCATCTAGGTAGTGGACCCTGAGCCCCAGTCAAACCCTCAGATGACAGACAACAGCCCTGGGGCTGAGATGGTGACTGACACCTCCCCATGAGAGACCCTGGACCAGACCCACCCAGAGACACCGCCTGCTTCCGATTCTGACCCCGGGAACCTGACGTGATGGACGCTGCTTGTGGTGTTAAGTGACTGAGCTCCGGGGTCCTTTATTACATGGCCCAAGAGAAGTCATGACAGCACCCCAGCTTGTTCCCCCGCTCCCACCTCCGAAAGAGCCAGGCTGCAGCAAATCGGGGCCGCTACCCCAGGTGAGGGGGAGGGCTGAGGGAGCCAGGCGAAGTCTGACACTCCCAGAAGGTGTGGGAGGAAGACACAGAAGCAGGTCAAGTTCCCCAGCCCCCAAAGACACTCCGCCTGCCCCCTCCGCAACTCCCCTCCCCGTGGAGAGCAGCTTTCCTGACACAACCCGGCCCGGCGGCCCCCACTCACCAAGGCTGCCCTGGCAGATGTCTGTCTGCGTGGCTCCGTCCACAATGAACTGCGGGTTTCTTGTGATTTCCTGCAGTGAAGGGGGGGTGGTGTCTGGGGTCCCAGGACAGCCTGCCCTCCACCCTGCCTCCCTGCCAGGGGAGCCCCCACAGAGTTCTAGGGCAGTGGTTCTCAACCTTCCTAAGACCCTGACCCTTTCATATGGTTCCTCGTGGGGTGGTGACCCCCCCAACCATAACTTTTTTTTTCTTTTCTGTGTTTATCACGATGTTATTTATTGGCCTATTACTGGACTTTTTCTTTCTTTATAGTGAGCTGCGATCCGTATCACAGGCTGTATTCTTTCTTTCTTTTTTTTTTAACCATAACATTATTTCCGTTGCTACTTCATCACTCTCATCACTGAATCGGACGACCCCTGCGAAAGGGCCGTTCGACCCCAGTGTTGAGAGCCGCTGCTCCAGGGGGAGGCAGGGAGGCATGGAGGCAGGGCGGGGAGGGCCCAGGGCCGGCTCCGTGAAGCTGCAGATTGCTGTAGGAACTTGGGTGACTTTTCCGAGGGGTGTCTGAGAGTTTGTGCTTAAGAGTGTCCAAGACTGTCCCCAGCAGGAGTGCGGGGGGAGCGGGGTAGCCTAGTGCCGGGGTCAGACTGCAGTGGAAGAGGGTTGGGATTTGCCCTGGGGATTGTTCGGCACTTGGCCTCCCCCGTCTAGCGCTCACCTTGGGCCGGTGCCAGATGATGTTCTGCACCTTACTGGACTTGGGCCCCAGATCCTTGAAGCCCAGCGATGTGGCGTCTGCCGGGAACAAGGGGTCCTCGAACAGCATCCCCGTCTTCAGACAGGCAGTCTGCAGCTCCTCGAAATTCTGGTTTCGGAAGACCTCTGCGTTGTTGTGCTGGCCCAGGCCCTTGGCCCGAAGTCGGTTGTGGCTGATGCGATCTGCCATGTCTTTGCAGGTGAAAATGACCTCCGCTCAGTAACAGACACTGACAGCCAGCCCCCTGTGCAAATGGGCAGACAGACAGACCCAGAAGGGGGAGAGCAGGGCCGGAGACAGAAGGCTACCCACAAAGTGCAGGGGGAGGCTGCTTCTGGACAGACCCGGGGGCCTGGGGACCCCGATGGGGCAGTTCAACTCTGTCCCACAGGGTCGCTCTGGTGTCAGATGGACACGGTTCACAGCAGGGCCTTCCAGAGGTTTTGGTTTTGGGGTCCGAGCAGTCAGTGGACTATCACTCGGCCGTAAACGGGAATGAGGTCCCTGGGGACACAATCACTTCAGCCACTTTCAAACAAAGCCGAGCAGGTAAGGGGGGCAGAGGCAGGAGGTAGATGGGCGAGAGACCTGCAGCAGGGTGGGGAGGGAGGATGTGCACGGCCCCGGATGTTGAATGGGAGCCTAAGCAAGACCAGATGGCTCCAGAAATGACATGGGGCTCCGAGGGACGCTGCCCTGCTGCGTGGACGCACCTTGGAAGCAGGCTGCTGGGTGACATGGGACATCCAGCAGAGGACGAGTGTGGGGCACCACCTCGCGTGAAACCACAAGCCCTTCCTGGTTTCGCTGATGGGTGGGAGGGGGTGTGGGAGTGAGTTCCTGCTCAGGGGGCACCAAGATAATTTGGGAAGGGGCTAGGCGACATGAAGGATGTAACCCAACGGTTCTCAACCCTTTGGGGGTCCAATGGCCCTTTCACAGAGGTCGCCTGATTCGTAACAGTAGCAAAATGACAGTGATGAAGTAGCAACAACAATAATGTTATGGTTGGGAGGGGGGTCACCACCACATGAAGAACTGTATTCAAGGGTGGCGGCATTAGGAAGGTTGAGAACCGCTGAACTGTAACCAGAGTCGCTGAATGAAAAATCAATCATTGATTTGGCTAATTGTGTTGGGCGTGTGTTTCACTGTAATTTAAAAACAAAACAAAACTATAAAAAGCCAAAACAAAAATAGGAACTTGCCTTGGATCTGCCAGGGAACCTGACAATAGACAAATGGTCAATCAGTAGATGAAAAAAAAAAAGGCTGACTATTCATCAGCTGTCAGGGAAATAATCCCAGGTCACAGTGACATCCCCTCCCCAACCACCAGGACGCTTCAAACAAATACAAGCGGAAAAGAGCAAGGACAAGGAGACCTTCGCACCTTCCCACCCGCTGCTGGTGGGGACGGGCAGCAGCCTGGCAGCTCCCCCAGGGTCCCTGAGTGCCGGGATGGCACAGCACCTCCCCTCCCATGGGAGATGGAAACGCAGGTACACATGCTCCCCCATGGATTTCGGTCCCGACTGTAGGGTGCTTCTTGATATGAGTGGATGATTGAACTGCTGGGGTGTAGGATCAGTGGGTTGGGTGCGCATCCAGATGTAGAAACATAAAATAAAAAGAAAGGAAATGTGGGCGCACACCAAAACTTGTGCACGCACGTGCCTAGCAGCATTATGCATCATCGTCGGCAAGCGGGGGGAACGCACGGTCTGTGGAGTGATGGGTGGGAAAAGACAGGGCGGCTCATCCATAAAACAGAGCAGTATTTGGCAGTGAACAGGAATGGAGTACTGATACAGGCAACGGCGTGGGTGAACCTTGCTACATTCTGCAAAAGAGGCTGATCACATCATTGTGATAAGAGTTGTATTAGCCCCCAATAAAATGATTTAATAAAATAAAAAATTAGGGTCGTGAAGAGCCAGTCAGGGTGCAGCAGTGTAGCAACGATGAAACATACAACTTTCCTCTAGTTCTTAAATGCTTCCTCCCCCCTACTATCATGATCCCAATTGTACCTTACAAATCTGGCTAGACCAGAGGATGTACACTGGTACAGATAGGAACTGGAAACACAGGGAATCCAGGGCAGATGATCCCTTCAGGACCAGTGGTGAGAGTGGCGATACCGGGAGGGTGGAGGGAAGGTGGGGTAGAAAGTGGGAACTGATTACAAAGATCGACATATAACCTCTTACCTGGGGGATGGACAACAGAAAAATGGGTGAAGGGAGCGTCGGATAGTGTAAGACATGACAAAATAATAATTTATAAATTATCAAGGATTCATGAGGGAGAGGGAAGAGGGGAGGGAGGTGAAAAAAATGAGGAGCTGATACCAAGGGCTCAAGCAGAAAGCAAATGTTTTGAAAATGATGATGGCAACAAATGTACCAATGTGCTCGACACAATGGATGGATGGATGGATGGTGATAAGAGTTGTATGAGCCCCCAATAAAATGATTACATTAAAAAAATTACATGAAGTGAAAAAAAAAAGGAAAGAAGCCAATCACAGAAGACCACATATTGTAGAATTCCATTCACATCATAAGCCCTCTTGCTCACAACCCAATGCCGCCGAGTCGATCCCGACTCAGAGGGACCCTACAGGACAGGGTCGAGCTGCCCCTGTGGGTTTCCCAAACTGTGACTGTTTCGGGAGTAGAGAGCCTCTCTTCCTCCGGAGGAGCGGCTGGGGGTTTCCAACTGCCGGCCTTGCAATTAGCAGTCCACCGAGGATGGTTCAGTCTAGAGAGACAGCAACTAGGTTCCTGGTTGGCTAGGGCCTGTGGGGGTGGGAGCACTCGGAGGGGTGCTGAAAGGGCACAGGGTTTCCTCGGAGCGATGCTTATGTTCTGCGACGACGGACCGTTGTGTTGGCTGCACAATCCTGCGCATACTAAAGGCTGATGGGTGAAACACTCTGAGTGGCTGAACTGCGTGGTGCGAAGCTGCTTTCACCCAAAGGCCTGCAGCCCATGCATGGCACCACCTGCAGATGGGTGTGGAAACACACCTGCCCTTCATTTATTTGTCGACGACCTCATCACCCAGCGTTTCCCGTCTCCAGCTACGGTGGAAAAGCAGGCATCAAAACGACTCACCCTCGACTAGGCTGGGCCTGAATGAAGCCACGCGTGGCCAGGTGAGAGGTGAGCTTGAAGGTTGTGTGTCAATTGGGCTGGGCCATCGTTTGGCAGTTAGGTCAGGGCTCCAGTTGGTGGCTACCCCACGATGGAGTCCTCTCCCACCTTGTGACCCGATGCAGTCCGTTCCCCGTTCACAAAACACTGGTTTTCACCCGAGGACCTAGTCTTTGGACTGTAACAGTGATGGTAAAGGAGGCACGGGGGCAATGGGCTATCGAGGACAAGAAGTGTCCCCAGGTGGTGCTCAACTGCTGACCCAGAGCTGGGCAGTTTGAACCTGCCCAATGCATCTTGGAGGAAAACACCTAATTGAGGGGAGGAAGGGGGGAAACTGATTGCAAGGACCGAACATAACATCCCCCCACCCCACCTCAGGGGGACGAACAACAGAAACGTGGGTGAAGGGAGACAGTGGTTGGGGTAAGATATGAAAACAACAATAATTTATCATTTATCGAGGCAGGGAAGGGAGGGAGAAGGGAGGGAAAAAAGAGAAGCTGATACTAGGGGCTCAAGTAGAAAGCAAATGTTTAGAAAATGATGATGGTTGGGGGGGGGCGCGGATGAGGCGCTGATACCAAGGGCTCAAGTAGAAAGCAAATGTTTTGAGAATGATGACGGCAACACATGTACAAATGTGCTGGGCACAAGGGCTGCATGTATGGATTGTGATAAGAGCTGTACGAGCTCCCAGTAAAATGATTTTTTAAAAATGATGGCAACATATGTACAGATACGCTTGATGCAATTGATGTGTGGAATGTGGTTAAGAGCCCCGATAAAATGATTAACAAGACCTAGTTGTCTGCTCCCCCAAAAGATAAAAAGCCACCAAACCCATTGGTTTGCCCCCACCCCCCCCCCAACCCGTTGCTGTGGAGCAGATTCTAAGCCCAGGAAACCCCAGGGGACAGAGCGAAAGCGCCCCCACAGGCCTCCCACAGCTGTGCTCTTTAAGGGAGCAGGCGCCTCGCCTTTTCCCCATAGGGCAGTGAGTGGACTCAAACGGCTGACCTTCCTGTTAGTAGGCACCATGGCCCTTCCCGTAAAGACTGCATTCAGGAGCCCCTGCGGACCAGTTCCTCTGTCTCTCTCTGCAGGTGTGGACAGCAGCAGCAAAGCAGGCAAGAGGGCAGCTCAAGGGAGGAGCCAGGGGACAGAGGGCAGCTCTGAGAGGGCAAGTCCGGGGCTGAGCCAGCCGGGCTTCTGTCCCACCCACGGAACTGCCCGGGCCACAGAGCTGCGCGCCTGGGAAGCTCCCCTCCTACCAGTGCCTGTCCCTCACCGCCCCGCTTTCTCCTCTGACTGGGGAGCCAAGGCCCTTGAAGACATCAAGGCATCCCCTGTCTGTAACCCAGCATCTGTCCCTCCTGCTTCCCTTTCTGCTTCCTCTTCCCTCCCTCTGTTCCATCTAAAGCTCCCCTGCGACCCCCTCAGGACAGGGCTTATGAAGGAAATGCTTTGATAATCGCATTTACCCAGAGACTTCAGAAGTGTTGTTGCCCCTGTTGCCCGGCTGTTTGGGTGTGAAACCCTGGCCCACGGTCCACCAAACACCAATCACTGAAACAACCAACTAACACCCCATCCCACTGCCATTCCGACTCCTAGGGACCCTGTAAGAGAATTGCCCCCGGAGGATAAGGTACAAGTGCCCCCCCCCCTTTGGGTTTCTGAGGCTTTACATCTTTTCAGGAGCAAGCAGCCTTATCTCCTCCTCCCCACCCCTCTCTGCCCCCATGTTAAGGACCTTGTGTTCAGCAGCTTAAAGGGCTCCCCTATACAGGGCCTGGGGAAAGCTCAACATTCAGTGTGGGCCAAGCCTTCTAAGCCATCTGTTCGGAGGCGTAGAGGGGATGTGATGGGAGATCTGAGGTGTGGGTGCAGAGGTGGGGGAGGGACCTGGTGGGAGAGGTGGTGGCCAGTGTCACAGTTACCACTCTGGGCCCAGGCCGCACTGCGCACGGCCCCTGGCCCCTGGAGTCCTCGCTGACACTTGGGGCTGTCTGCCCAGCACCCTGG